CGATGATTAAGCTTCTCTCTCCTCTGCCTCTCTGCCTCAACATGGTTTAACAATGCCGATTCTCTACTAGCTCCATTGGTTAACGATCTCCCTCTCTTTTTCGAACGAGGCTTCGCTATATTCTCAGAGATGAAATTGCCAATAGAATCAGAAGGTGACTCTGGTGATGACCGGCCTATATTGATAGGTGCTACTTCTTTTCTACCACATTCTGGGGAAAATGTATTTAAAACATCGATGTTAATAATAAAAATTGAGAGTATGAAGACACGACAATATCGACAAAGTATCGATATCGAGACAAACTATTTGGAATCTTTAATTGACTTAATTTCGTGCTTACCTTGCCTGGTTAGCTCTTTTTGAACTCCTAAAAACATCAAATTTTCTGGGGGTGGAACAAGCACATCGCCGTCACGGCTGCCCTGCTGCGAGACCCTGTTGTTATCTGATCCAAAGAGTGATTTTGATAGGTGCACAAGGCCCCAATCTTCTTTGATCACATCCACAGAGGCCAGCTCGAGCACCCCACAAGAAGTTGCAATGCAAACCAAAGTTTGAATTCCGTGCATTCTAACTTCTTTCACTCTCTCACACTCATAAAACTGAAGCTCATGAATACCTGCAAGCCAAACAAAACCACCAGAACAAAATGCTCGGCCCAGAATATTCTTGGTGGCATGGCCTGCAGCAAACGACTGGGTTAAAGAAACACTGTAAAAGTAAAACCACTCAGATCCAGTGACATCTCCATGATCCACCATCCTCATCTCCAAGTCCAGCATGTCTTCATCGAAAAGAGCTTCTTCAGCTTCTCTGCTAGTCAACTTCTTGGCTAACCCAAATTTGGGTTGGTAATTATTGGTCACCTTGTTGGTTGTTTTGGATGACAAGTCTCTGTCGATTTGGAAATCTCCGGCACCCCATGACAAAGCAACTTGGCCATTGCTGTCTTTGGAGGCTCGCCAGAAAATGGAATAAACCCAACATTCAGGCCTGTTCTGAACTAAGAACTGGAGACGTTGTTGAAATATGGCTGGGGTT